CACAAGCTGGTTGGTTTGACTAGGGTAAAAATTTAACGGCATACTATATTATTGTTGTATAGGAGGTGCCGATGAAATAGGTAAAGTTGGACTAGCGTTTTCAGATACACCAACAGTACCACTAGATGACGGAGGCATATTTTCTGAGCATTAGCACTAGCCACAAAAGAATTGTATGCCATCACATTACCCTTGCTAACAAGACTTTCAATCACAGCTACTTGCTCCGAAGAAAAAACTTTACTCACAGTGATTACATCTTGTTCGTCGATGAGGGGAGGAAAATTGACGTTTCCAACCCGACTGATGTTGTCTTGACGGTTCTTCTTGAAACTTGAAAGAAACGCTTCCAAATCCTCCTCCTTGCGCTTCTTCTTGAGCGCCTCAAAAGCCTCTTCACGCTGCTTCTTGCGCGCTTTGTAGGCTTGGCGATGTTCATCCGATAGTTCATCAAGACCGGGCTTAATGATGTTATCGGCGTCAACTTCTGAGGGCTTGGGGAGATTACACATGGTTGATGATGATTCTTGATCTTTCTTCCCCAGCGGAGTCGCCAAAAAGTGTGTTCGCACACGAACACGTCACCGTGTACCTCCAACTCCAATGGTGATGCACCGCAGCTCATGTCGAAGGAGACCCGTTCGAAAGCGCGGTACGCAAGCAATCCGACGGGTGCTTTTCAGGACCCGAAACCCCAAGCGCCCGGGAGGGACCCCGTCTGGACGCGCGACGGCTATGGGCTGCCCTAGGTCAGTTCGCCCGCCCCTAGAGCCTCGAGGATCGCTGCCCTTCAACACGAAGAACAAACGAAGAACGAGAGAGAAAGAACAAGGGAGAGATGTAAAAACTAGGGTAAAAAGTAGTATATTGATTTGTCGATTGTGTGTTGTTCAATCGGCCATCACCTCTCATCTATTTATGAGGCAGCTGGACTTCCCGTACAAGGAAAGGACTAGAAAGTCCATCCAAAACGTCAAAAACCCTAACCTAACTCGGACAGGAATCTTTGGCAATTTCCGGATCAACTCGGTCTCACCGATTGGTTTGCTTCGGTCCCACCGAGTGAACGTGGCCAACTCTCTGTAATTTCTGTAACTTCCCGGATCAACTCGGTCTCATCGATTAGTTTGCTTCGGTCCCACCGAGTGAGCGCTGCCAACTTTCTGTAACTTTCTGTAATTTCTCGGATCGACTCAGTCTCACCGAGTCAACCAACTCGTTCGTCCGAAATGACTCTGCAGCTTCTGTTTCTGTTCTTGTTTTGCCTTCACAGGTTGCATACGACCTCGGATTAAGATGATTTTTATATCAAAATCAACCGTTTCGACGAGACGAAGACAACTTATGTATAAAGTTTTTCCATTTGACGTCGTCTTGGGGGCTTAATCTTCCAAACTGTACTCTGAATATAAGATCTTAGTACTTTGAGCATAGTTTCGGCCTTTGAGATGAAATTGGACGCGATGGCCCAAACTTCAAAGACGTTCATATCAACAATACAGAGCTCTCTCATGTAGATCTTCTCCATTGATGTCATTTTAAATAAGGTCTTGACCGTGCCAAAATCTGGTGTCAACAATGTCCGGGCAGCAGTGTCGTCGGCGTCGCTTTCCTTCTTGGAGGTGCTGCTTTGTATGCGGTGGTTCGGAGCCTCAGGTTGTGGTGGTCTGTTTCTGGTGGGCATAGCGGTGGCGGGTCATATTGATAGATAGGGATCAATGAACTAGAAAGATAAAAAATGAAAGAGCATCTTCTCTTAAATTTTTCTTTTGCGGGTGCATCTGCTCTTAAACTCTGGCTGAGAATAATAGGATATTTGACACATGATTGGCCACGCACCATATTGAGGCTGAATTCTCATGCTTAATAGGTCTCCATGTTTCCTACTAGGTAAAACTGACAAAAATTGGACACAACATATATGGCAATAATTATCCTATTTCCTTTAAATATACATGAAGATTATTTAATATAATCATATGACATCGAGCTATCGACCTAAAATCGAGCGAGCTAATGTTAGCTCAAGATTAACTCATTTCTGCATCGAGCTAAATAAAGTGTTCATACTCAGCTTATTTCTTTTCGGGTCGATCTCGAGTCGAGTCAAAATATGAGTCGATCTTGAACTGCTCACGAGCCTCGAGTTTTTCGTACAGCCCTAGGTGGGTGCACCGTCGACGTTTTCTTCTTTTGCATGTGCGAGCTTGTCAGTTGTCACCGTAACCCTCGGGAAATAAAAAAGCCTTGTCACCTGAAAACGCCTTGATAGGAAAGGTGAGGGAAAAAGAAGGGAGGCGGGAGAAATCAACGGTGCCTATCATTTTCGCAAACTCCTCAACTGAAACGAACGTCAACAATGGAAGGAAGAGAAAAAAAGGCCATGCAACGCAGCAGCCAGCTCAGGCTGATCCTAAATCAAAATAAAATCCCGAGAGGCCTTTTGGCGCGAATATCCTCCGAGGCCGCAGCTTGCTGATGCCACTTGGTATCACGTCTCGGATTTTTCCGGCCGATCGACAGCTTAATAGATTGTCGATTTCCTTTCGTCGCTTGCCCCGGCAGAGCTACGGCGGCAGCTGACTTTGAGACTTGAGAGTCTCCTATCGTAGCTAGGCTGGCTGCCAAGCAACTGCATGCATGTCGCTAGATGTAGCGAGGGGCCAACGACAGAAACATCAGACCGGAGGGTCTTCTCGGACCACATGGACACAGGAGGTGACGCGTGATGACTAGCAGATGAGCCGCAAGGCAAGACCAGAAACAAGGGTCTTGGCACATCTCCTGGGTCCTGGCTAATCGACCATGTACGTACGCATCTCTAATTTCCTTTGAACTTGAAGTCGACAAGTCATTTGTGAACAAAAATGTTGAACACACCACATCCATCCGTATCGACTGTTTTCGGGTGTCAGTTAGGTGAACTCAAGGCCTGTTAGAGCATCTACAGCCGGATCTCTCGAACCATCTCTCACATGCCCGCGAACGCGCCAGATCAGTGATAGGACAGGAGAGAGAAGTACAAAAGTAACCCAACCGAATTCCTCATATCTTTCTTATATGTCCGGGCTACAGGGTCTGCGAACCCTTGTATCCATCTCAAATATGGGGAGGATATGAGGCTTGCGGACACGCCCGGGCGGGTCCCGGTCAATGCGCCACATAGGACGCGGCCCTACCCCAGACCACTTTTTCTCTTTCTTTAGTCATTTTTTTCTTTCTCTCTCTTCATCTCCATCAATCACGTGCAAGTGACCGGACATATGAGGAAGAAAATGAGAATTATGACTGCACGGATGGATAAATAAGGGCTCAAAACGGACACATCTGATCACTGACCGGACGCGTCCGCGGGCGTTTGAAGGATCGAATTAGAGGTGTGTGGCTGAAGATGCTCTTAGTCTGTTATATACTCAAGTGGTATCTTCAAGTTTCCAGATACCGGTATTCTTATACATGCCAAAAATTAGTGCGCACAGATTATTGGCAGCTCGAGTATCAAGGTTATATTCCGCACCCGCCGCGCTTGATAATTTGATAATGCAAGAAAACAAACTAGGATAGCAAGGGCCAGTGTGTCGATAGATGACGTGATTGGTATCAGATGACATAGTTTATACCGTACTTGCATGTGTTTAGTACACCTAACGACGTAAGTAGATGGGATTTTAAAGTGAAACGATCGACTACCTTGGCTACTTGAATATACGGATACCAGACAGATGTCCATGCATACTGGCATGTGCTCAGTACACTTGACTCCCATAATACACTCCAACGTTGCTTTATCTTAATCTGTGGTAAGACCGTAAGACTACTAGTACGAATTAAGCATCCAAAAACTTATAGAACGTAAAACTTACTGTGGCCTCGTGCGGGTCTCCGTCGTGACTGCTTCGAGCCGCTTCATCTTGCTTCCTCTGCTCCGCGATATCAAAAAGATCTCCCGTTAGTTGCAGCGAACGAGTACAGAGTGTGTGTCATGTGACGTTGAAGTTAATATTCCTACAGATACTAAGCTATACAGAAACAGTAATCCGTATGTAGACATTCCATTAGACGTGTCACAATTATTGCATGAAAAAAATTGAACAAGAGCAAAATTCTAAGGAAGTTTAGAAATTCCCAAAATCCGGGCTCATTTGTCGCGGGAAGACGTCGACATGCCGCGTTGATGTCGATATCCTTGTTGGCCCGTCTAAGAGGAAGGAGATGGTCAATCTCTAGAGACTTCAATGTAATTTCTCTATTTTGTAGAGAACAGATTCGAATGTGGTTTTGGTACAAAGTAAACCCTACAAAAACTAAAGCTATGGAAAGCCAATAATCCATACATAGACATTCGATATGATATGGCGTAGTTATTGCAGGATTAGAAAAGTTCTACAAGAGTGAACTACTAAGGGATTTGAGGGAATTCCAAAATTCAGATAGAGACTCATTTGTCGCAGGAAGACGTCGACACGATGCGTGCTTGACCGACGGGCATATAATCAATTAAACACGGTAAATACAAGGACCATGCTACCGTGCTAGTAGCTAGCTAGTTAAATCGCACATAAAAAAACCGGTCAAATTTTCATTGTAAATATGAATTCCTTTGTTATAAGAGCAGTTAAACCTTATCTGGCCACTACAGGAGCAAATGTTAATGGTCATTATGGAGAAATCCTCTACAAGGGAGATAGGTTAGTTACGTTTATATATGAAAAATCGAGATATAGTGACATAACGCAAGGTCTTCCAAAAGTGGAACAAATCTTTGAAGCATGTTCAATTGATTCATTATCCCCGAATCTCGAAAGGGGAATTGAGGATTGGATGGCGCCCGTTTTTTCAATTATGAAGCATGGCTAAGTGATCCTACTCACATTGGACCCAGTGCTCAGGTAGTTTGGCCTATAGTAGGGGTACAACCTAAGTGGTGTCCCCCTGTTAGTGGTTGGGTTAAATTAAATACTGATGGTTCATTTGTTGTGGATGGTACTGCTGGTGCGGGTATGGTTCTAAGAGATGTCAAGGGCAAAATCATATTCTCATCATGTAGGGTGCTATTTTCATGTTGTGAGTCTCTCGAAGCTGAATTATGTGCGTGCATTGAAGGTCTCTCTTTCGCCCTACAAAGAAGTGACTTACCTATCATAATTGAGATGGATTCTATAGTTGCTGTCAAGTTGATCCAAGGCCGGGAAGAGGATAGATCAATCTACGCTTCTCTCATTAAGGAAATTAGGCATCTCTTGTCTCTTCGTGATTCTTGTATTACTCATGTTAATCATACTCAGAATAATGTTAGTGATAGTTTAGCTAAGTTTGCTAGAGATAAGGGCAGAACTATGACTTGGTTAGGATCTAGCCGTGAAGTTGCTTTGTGTTTAGCTTTTGATGATTGTAAGGATGTTGTGATTGAGTAATACAAGTGTTCACCCCCAAAACAAATAGCGTTCAACTTGAAAGCCAAAGGGGAGATAAGGACACCACAGATGTCCTTGAATTGACTGCGTGCGTATTTTTTTCCACTAATTATTGATCAAGAAGGGCACTCATCGATCATACTCGCTCGGACTCACAAAGGAGGCGAGGTTTGACTGTCTCAATTGGATTTCTATGATATTATAACTATTGCAAGTATATATTGTACACAAAAGAAAAAAAATATGATCGAAACATGAATTTCGGCAATTTCCCGTCAAATTGTGTCTTCTTTTGGAGTGAGAGTTCGAGGGGGAGGGGGTATCTATTGATACCAGCCCTCACATGATCCCATGTTTTCTATTTATAAAATTTAAACTTAAATGTTAAAAAAACTGAAACACTCATGAGTTTTCAGAAGACATGTGGCTATAGCCCCTGAATAACATTTTCAGGCAAGATTTTTACGAAAACTGCAAAAACAGCTTACCTGTCACCCTCCCCGAAATTATATGGACACCTCGTAAAAAGTATTTAGTTAGAATTTTCTAGGGAACTGTTGGTGATGCTCTTAGCAGTGGGCGTCTACGGCAGCATAACTAGTGACAACCATGTGTGTCACCTTGACGATAAAGTTATACTAAATTTAAGACACTTATTTTGGGACGGAGTAATACCTAAAGTCGTACAGAAAAATATAGTCAATAATGCTAGACGCACGGATGGACCTATTACGGGATTTACGGAATAGCAGACGTGGGTGATCCGGATTGCAGAAGAGGGAGCATGGGCCCGCTGAAAATCAGGGAGGAGGGGGGGGCATTTCCTAACGGGCGCCTTAAGCGCCCGTTTCTTCTGTTGCCGCAAACGGGCGCATACCCCGCGCCGCGCTGGGCCGGCCCATTTCATTCTTTTTCTTTCTGTTAAAAAACTGCAGCAAAAATAATATTACGAACGTGAAGGCTCGAACTCACGACCTCTCGGTCGAAACACCAGCAAACAAACCAACAGACCACTGTACCGTTTGTTTCCATGTACTTATTTTCATTCTTTTATTTAGGTAGGCCGCGAGAGCCCACCAAACCAGATTTCACTGCTCGCTGATTTTTGGGCGTTTTTTTCTTTTTCTTTTCTCACTTTCCTTTTTATATTTTCTTTAAAATGCGAATTTTTAAAAAGTCGTGAAATATCTAAAATTGAATGAACTTTTATCAAATCGATGAACTATTTTTAAAATTCAATGAAAAAATTAAAATTCCATGAACTTTTTAAAACGTGAACAATTTTTGAGAAGATGAACAAAAATTTATATACGACGAGCGATTTTCAAATATACACTAAACATTTTATTTCGGTGTACGATGAACAATTTTTAACTACACAGTGAACATTTTGTGATATACATTGAAATAATTTAAAACATATTATACTTTTTTTATATAAGATGAACAAATTTTATACATTGAAATTTTTTGTAATATAATCTGAACAATTTTTAACTACATGTTGAACAATTTTGTGATATGCGCTGAAAAACTATTTAAATACCCATTGAACATTTTTTGATGTACTTTGAACTTTCCTTACTGACCTTTTTTAAATTTCATGAGCTTTCAAATCCGTGAACCTTTTCCTGAAATAAGTGAACATTTTTAAATACATGAATCTTTTTTTAAAACAAATTGGTGAAACTTCTTTTTTTTGTATGTCAGCTTTTTTATTGGAACAACGCGGCTTCTGTTATGTATTAATAATTTCAGGGTAAAGTCACGGTAAAGTTTACATGTCGAAGGTAGTAGTTCGACTGGTTATTCTGCGCGTGGGTCACGCCGTCGGCGCGAGTTCGAATCCTCGCTGCTGGCTGTACCAACATTTTTAGTGTTTTTTACGTTGGCTTTTCGTGATACTGGGCCGGCCCACGAGGGCGCTGCAGTGGGCGCCAATTGTGTTCAGCGGCGCTGAAGGCGCCCTATAGGAGCTCCCGGGGATCTAGGATTTCGTAAAACTACGGCAGACGCATTGTCAACGTCTCCTTTTCTTTACGCAAACTCCTAAGCCCAAACAAACCTCAACAGCTGAAAGGAAGAGAAAATGCCAAGCACTGTCAAAAAAATAGAAAAGCACCATCCGCTTGGCACCATCACGTCCCGGACTTTTTCGTCCGATCGACAGCTTGAGAACTCGTCGATTTCCTTTCGTCGCTTGCCCCTGCGCACGGCGGCGGCTGACTTTGAGGCTTGAGTCTCCCAGCAACTGCACGCATGTCGCTAGATGCAGCTAGAGGGGGGCCAACGAGAGGAACGTCAGACCGGAGAGACTCCTTGGACCGCCGGAAATAAATGACGCGCGTTCGTGATGACCTTCTGAGCCGCAAGGCAGGACCGGCGAGCAAGGTCTTGGCACATCTCCTGGCTAATCAATCATCTAATTTTCTTCGACGTCGACGTGTTATTCTTGTAGTACCAAGAAAGTTCCTCCTTCAATGGTCAACACGCCACATCCATCCATGTCGACTGTTTTCTTACATGTAGTACTTCCTCGGTCTCGATTTACAGGGCATGTAAGTCGTTCTAGGTTAAGAATTTAACTAGCTATATATGTATTATATGTGATGAAAAATATAAGTTTAGGAACTACATCCACTTAAGAATCCAATAATATATTTTTGTGACATATAATTTATATTTAGTTAGTCAAATGAATGACCTAGAACTATGTGCATGCTCTGTAAACCGAGAAGGAGGGAGTACGTCGTGAGGCTGGTCATAGTGAGGAGTAACTTAGACTAGTGTCATGCATATGCACTAGTCTAAGTAATTACCTTCATAATGCAAAGTAACATAATAGTAGTATCACAGATGGCTTCATTTACTAGCTCATAGACTCATCTTGTCTTGGAAAGTGCTATGTTACAGTAACATATTATGTTACCACCTCTCATTAATTACTTGCTACATAAGCAGAATTTTCTCGAATAGCGCTATGTTACTAGCTAAGTTACTCCCACTATGACCAGTCTTAGGTGAACGGAAGACTTGTTATCTTCATGTTTTACACATCGAGATGCTAGTATTTTCAGAGCTATGACAGGCCAATAATTCAGGCCCACAAATTATTGCCAGTTCTACGGACAACATGTACGAGGCTGGTCGTAATGGTAGTATCATAGCTAGTATCATGCATGCCAACTAGAGAATTTTGATGAGGTGTCATAGCATTAAATGAAGAAAGAAAGGGTGTAGTATCATATCATGATACCGTATCATATTAAATGCTATGCTACTTTGTGTCATGCATGACAATAAATAAGGTACTACATGATACTAATATATGATACTATGCATTGGGGAGGTAGTATCATACACTAGTATTATATGCATGATACTAGTATATGATACTCCCCATTACAACCAGCCTAATAAAATTGCAGAACGATGGCTACATTTGATATTACTACCAAGGGCTTTCTTCTCCACCTGCCACCTATCTTTTCCTAGAGGGGCGTACCGGTTAATTTGATAATGCAAGAATACAAACTAGGTATCAGAAACCAATGACGTGATTGGTATCAGATGACATAATTTTAACCTTACTTTGTATGTGTTTGGTACACCTAATGACGTAACATACGAGTATTTTAAAGTGAAACGGTCGACTAACTTGGCTGATTGAATATACATACCACAGACAGATGTCCATACTCAGCATGTGTTGAGTACACTGACACCCCTACTCCAACGCTACTTTATGTTAATAATACTATGTTAATCATCGGGGTATCCATCGAGACCACATTGACGTGTGATCCGAGCCGCTTCTTATTGCTTCCTTTGCTCCACAATATCATAAAGATCTCCCCCATCAATTCCCAGCGAATGAGCACAAGACAGTGTTTGACGTTGATGTTAATATTCCTACAGAAACTAAAACTATAGTAATACAGTACTCCTACAAAACACAAGAGTGGGACTCAAAGGAAGCTCACAAACTCCCAAAAATTCCGCCTCATTTGTCGTGGGAAGATGTCGGCACGCCGCGTTGATGTTGATATCCCTATTAGCGCGTTCGAGAGGAAGAAGACGGTCATTTCGTTCCCCATAAAATTCAACATAATCTCTATATTTTTCAGTAAATATGTCAAGTGCTTTTTGCGGAAAAAATATTCCTACATAAACTAAAGGTATGGAAAGCCTGTAATCCACATATAGCCATTCGGTATGATATGGCATAGTTATTGCAGTTGCAGGAAAAGAAAATTCAACGAGAGTGAACTGCCAGGGAATTTCGGATAGAGCCTAATAGGTCGCGGGAAAGACATGGACACGGCGTGTGCTTGACTGACTCACGCGCAAATGAAATGCTAAGAATCTAATGTCCGGTTTTTAAGGATAGCAAATTGAACATTTTTAATGGCAATTTATGCTGGTTCAGGGATGACAAATGTAGTTGACAAATACAACAATTTCTGAGGGAAAAATTAACCGAGGCGGATTTGTCAAGCTTAGCAACCAAACCTGACATCCTACGCAAACACAATTTGGCATGAAAAACATTCAGTTTGCCATGCCTAAAAATCAGACGTTCGTTGAATGTGTTTAGCAAGCATGACAAATCCTCGCCGTGTTCAGTTTTTTGTCATGCTTGCTAAACGTATTTGTCGTCACCACAATAACAATAATTATCATAAAAACGCTCGATTTGCCATGATTAAAAATCTAACTTTAAATTTTTAACATTACTGAATAATAAAACACGGTAAATACAAGGATTTGCCGTGTTTAGATAGCTAGTTAATTTGTAGTGGTCAACTTGAGAGCCAAGTGTAGATAAGGACGGGTCTCCTTGACTGACTGGAACTGGATTGCGTACGTGTTGTTTGTGTTGATCATTGGTCACAACTCACAAGGCTGCTTCGATCGGTTCAATCAGAAAATTCATAGAACGGCAACATATGAAGGACAAGACATTAAGAAAATATCTGGTGCTCCCGTGCGAGCTCAGC